TATTTATATATATTTGTTCTTCCTGTGGACACTGAGGTCCTTGGATGTGTGTGTGGAGATGTTGACCATGTTCTATCACACAGTGGTGGCCAGTGCACTACTTTATACTGGAGCTTGACAGGCAAAAACACCAAGCCTTTGGTAAAGGTGGTTAAAAAGGTTGGCTCAGTGCGCGGCAGGAGACTGGACCCACTAAGAACTGTGGTGGAGAGGGGCACATTGAACAAACTGAAAGCTATAATGGACAATAGCAGACACCCTCTCCACAGCCTCCTGGAGCGACAGAGGAGCAGCTGCAGCAGTCGGCTCATCTCACTGCTTGCAGAACAGAGCATTTCAGGGGATCCTTCGTCCCCACGGCAATAAGACTGTTTACCATCTCCTGAATCCAGTCACACACACACACACACACACACTAACACACTAACACACATCACCTTAGCCACAACTGGCTGGGCTGTGGAATGGATAATTTTATTTTAATTTAATTTCTATTTATGCAGTTATTTTAACTTATTTTATTTTCTGTCTATTTTAATACCACTGTGTTCCAAAGAAACTAGTAGGCAACAACACTCACAAAAGACTAGAGTCAAAATCTATGTTTTAATAGGGCAACACACTAACCCTACCCCTATTAAAACATAGATTTTGACTCTAGTCTTTTGTGAGTGCTGTTGCGTACTATAACAGGGATAACTGAAGTTCTATTATTATTTATTATTATTTTCTATTCTATTCTAATTAATATGATTATTTGTGTGTGTTAATTTGTCAGGTATCTTACTGACACACAGTTTCACAGTCTTGTCAATACTGATACGTTCAATACTCATATTTTGCCATGTGGATCTAGGTTACCCATTCTGTGTACATCTATTGGTCCAACCATTGAATATCAAAGACAGACTAACAGATGGATGGAAACCTGTATGAATACCTATCCTTCCCCTGATGTAGAGACCTATAGAATATAGATGGAATTGTATTGAGTTCATTGTGTTAAACAGACTCTTCCGTGTTACTGCTAACAGCTGCCTGTTACAATTAACCCCACCCATGGAGTCCATTGCAGCATTTCACCTCTCAGTGCAATTGTAGAAGAAAGGTAAGTTCAAGAAAAAAACAATAACTGTATATTTGTAGCAGAAATAATAATAATAATGATAATAATAATAATAATAATAATAATAATAATAATAATAATAACAATAATATAGCGCTATTCAAAAACTCAAAGACACTTTACAGACATAAAAAAGTGCAGGGAAATACAATCCAATGTGCAAATCAGCAGACAAAAGAGGATAAAAATTACAGACAGGAGTGCATTAGTTATAGACAAGGTTGTAGACAAATAAGGGTGCTGACAATACAAAGTTAGGTGGGTATAAGGGAAGAGCAAGAAGGAAGTAGGATGGATTAAATGGATGTGCATGATTTTAGATTAAAACAAACAAACACGTTTTTTTTTTCATTTCAAACAGTTTTAATAGCATTCAGCCCAAACTGAAATGTGTTTGGTTGTGTCCCGCTCTCCCCTAGGTTATTAGTGCGGCTCTCTGTTCGAAGCCCCGCCTTAAACTCCCAATCAGCCAATGAGGAAGCCCCAAACGGTGAATGCGGAAATAAACACGGAAGTGGCAGCACATTAAAGAAAGGAGAGGACGACACGTAGACTGGGTCAAATACTGAGCCAAAATGGACTTAAACACATTCCAGCGGATATCAGGCTGCAGTATTGTTTGTTAGTGTGGCCAGTTTTTCCGCTCTTAACAGCCTAAATGGAGACAGACAGAGGTGTGGTTTTGGCCACAGAGAGATATGGTAGTGCAGAGTCCTGGAAGTATTTTGCAAAAGATGAAGTGATGGAGAGGAGAAGAGATGGGAGGGAAGGTGAATCAAGAGGAAACTCTATTGTTGGAGTTTTTAAAGTAAGGATTTATAATGTTTTCCTGCACTGCACCTTTGAACAGTTTGTAATCTCCTGCCACAGAAGCTCGCTTGGGTAAAGTCAGATGGCTGAAAGGAGTACTTTATGTTGTTGAATGGCCTCTGATGCTTTCAGATTGTAGAAAGTCCTCTTTACAAATTAGGGTGCATTTGTATGCACATGGAGAACAAAACGCTGTACAGTGATTCACGCTGACAGACAACTGAAAGAAAGCAGAAAGAGACAACTGAGCAACAGTTCAATAACAAGAGAAGAAACCAGCAGTCATTGGTAAAAGAAACCGAAAGCTTAGCATCAAAATGTGTGCAGATTAAGATAGACACTGGGTCATGTTTCAGTGTCAGGCACACAATTATGTCTATAAGACGCTGATATTAAAAGGTGTGTTGCTTTGGCAAAGCTATTACTCAAACTTCATAATAGAAACAGGTTAGTGTAGGGTTATTATTGTTGGAGCTGGGTCAGAGAATATTAGGTAAACATACTGTAGACTGACAAACCACAGTTTAATAACCATGTTCAATCTAAGCAATCAGTAGATGGCAGAGGGCCCAAGGAAAAACAGGTTCCCAAAATTCTTTAGGGCACAGGTGCACCGTTGTGGTTTAATAATAATTAAGGTTTCACATGCACCTTACTGAACTGAAAACAAATTCAAAATCAAAGTTCAAACAGTGTTCTCCCCTAACATGTTTCATTGTGGGGTCATCGACTAAATGGGGGAATTCAAATGTAGGTAATACATTAGATGTCTGAATTATAGCGTTTTTATCTGTTAAAACTTTGGCTGCACAGTATATCGCTTTTTTAATCGTCATCGCACTTATCAACTAGCACAATAAACACATCACGAAAGACTGATATGTCGCATTCAGGGATTTTTTTCGGTAGTTAAATAGGAATATCAGTTGAAAGCTGCAATTAAATATGTAACTTGCTCATACACTCCCCCCCTTAACTCACATTTTAACATTTTATTTCAGACTGTCTTCCTGCCTCAAGGCTATCCAGAGAGCGTCAGTGATGACTACTTACAGTACCAGTTTTGGGATACTTTGCAGGTACAGTAAATGATGCACCAAAACTATAAAGATAATACATATATCCAGACTGAAACTCTCCCCTCACACTCTCCCCTCCCTCTCTCAGGCATTCTCCAGCTCTCTGTCAGGGACTCTGGCCACTCAGGCTTCTCTCAAAGGTGTCGGTGTTGGAAACCAAGAGGCGACAGTCGCTGCAGCCACAGTTACCTGGATACTGAGAGGTGTGATCCCTTAAAATAAACTGAAAATGTACATTTATACTTGCATGGTTAGTGCAAACTAATGTTTCCCATGCAGATGGAACTGGTATGTTGGGAAGAATTCTCTTCGCCTGGCATAAAGGGTAGGCTCATTGTTTGGTTACTGTACAGTGCATCAAAATTTTCGGAGTTTTAAATCAGTGTACAGGTACTCGCTTCGATTTCACTGACTGAAACTCCTGTTCACAATCAGTTTCTTTGTCTTTGTTCCAGGAGTAAACTGGACTCTGAGGCCAAAAAATGGAGGTATGCATTATGCACAAGCACTGAATTTAAAATTACATGGTCAGTGTAGTCATTATCATGAACCCATCTGATGTAATAAATGATTTTTTTTACCAGACTTTTTGCTGATGTCCTCAACGACATTGCCATGTTCATGGAAATATTGGCTCCATACTTTCCTGCTTTCTTCACCCTGATAGTGTGTACTGCAGGGGTATTCAAGGTAAAAAAAAAAAAAAGCAGCACATTATATGGGCACACATATTCACCATTAACTAGCTGCTTGTTAGCATGCATAATAGTAACTTATTGGCTCTTTATTAGTCCTTATAAAGCACTTATTAATGCCTTATTCTGCATGACCATATCCTACAAGGCCACTAAGAGCTTCCCCCCCATAACCTCCTAATTACTGCTTATTAATACTAAGTAAGGAAGCCGTTGTGCATGAATTACGATCTCAACATGCCTGCTCAGTGTAGGCCTTATAAGGTGGTATTACAGCAACAATAGTCATTCTCCCTTAATAGTGTCCAAATAACTCTAAATTAAGTCTTTCTAACTCAGAATATGTTCCCTATTCTAAAGTGACGTCTTGCTCATAACTTATTCACTAATAGTTTGACACACAGTTGTTTCCTCATCACATAATTTACAGACCCTGTTCTTAAAGGAATACTTCACCCACAAAATGACAGTATGTGTATCAGAATTCATGAAGAAAATGTTTTTCTTACATGCCTCCATGGAGAACAGCGAACATATTGATCGATTGCAAACAGCAATCTAACAGCAAAAATATATCAAAACATCTGTTTACAAACTCTCATCCAACTTTTGCAGTTTAATCAAAGTCTCATTTATCCAGTCATTTGCTTAGTATTTCCCAAACACATGCATTTTGCTAAAACCTTACTACTCAAAACTAAACTAAATGTTAAAATGATCAATACTCTCTTCAAAGCTAGGCTCCTGCTGAGTTTTGTTATTAGTGCACAGACTACAGACAATGAAACTGAGACTGAAATGGGGTCAAGTTCTTGTCAAGATGCAATTGACTGACTCTCTAAATATTCTGTTGTTCACCTATTAAACACTTGATACACTTAAAGTTTTGGGCTGCTGGGTATTTACTGATCAATAGAAGTTGACTTGTGTGTGCTGGTCTTCTCCAGTCCCTTGTTGGAGTGGCAGGCGGTGCGACCAGAGCTGCTCTGACTGTTCATCAAGCTCGCAGAGACAACATGGCTGACATCTCTGCCAAAGATGGCAGTCAGGTACTTTTTTGACCTCTGTTTTCCTCAGGCCATGCGTAGAGCAAACCGTGGTAAACAATGTGATTGCATGTGATGAATAACGTTGCTCACAGTTTTGGCATGGAGGGGTATTTCCTGTACCAATCCATGTGATCGGCTATTTTTAATATACCAAAGAAACAAAAAATTTTTAACCATATTAACAGTTTTTGGCTGTGGCATATCACAATATACATAAAGTAGTACAATAGACCTTGTTCACACACAACATTTTAGTTCTTAATAACATTAATAATTTTCACACACACAGGAGACTTTGGTTAATCTGGCTGGACTGCTGGTCAGTTTGATGCTCATTCCCCTCGTCACTGATAATACAATGTAAGTATGGTTATAAAGAACGTATTTAAATTCCCCCAAGAATCTTATGCAGGGACTTATTTATTGAAGAGTCTGTCACATCACGTTCCCCTCTCTCTTTCTGCCCCTCAGACTGACTCTCAGCCTCTTCTTCCTCTTCACCGTCCTCCACCTCTTTGCCAACTACAAGGCTGTGCGTTCAGTCGTCATGGAAACCTTCAACGAGGCGCGGCTTTCGATCGTGCTGCAGCAGTACGTGAGAGATGGACAGATCCTGAGTCCACTAGAGGCCAATCAGAGAGAACCAGTTTTCTTTGGTGAGAATCGTGAATTTGCTGACAGTTTAATTTCTTCATGAGTAGCTATCAGCGTTTGGACACAATTAATTCTGTGCATTCAAAATGTATGTTTTTTTTCCCAGAGTTAAGGAAAACGGTGCCAATCAGACTTGGAGTGAGGCTGCAGGAGGTTGTACAAAGGTAATTTCATGAACCATTTTGGTAACATGATGAATAATTATACAAAATACAAGTTCAACAATTTAATTTTGCCTGTTTTGTAGCCCAGAGGAACTGAATTTGGCTTTGAAGGAAAACAACATGCCTTACATATTAGGAGTACGTAATGGTATGTCATCTTCCGTCTTCCTCCACAGAAATACAATGTGTTCAAGAGCCATATAAAATACTTTGAGTGTTTTTTTTAAAAACTCAGCTGTGTTCCTCCCAGGCTGCGTCTGTGTTTGTTTGGGACCAGAGGCATCGGTGCGTGACGAAATCAGAGCAATGTGCCAAGCTGTGTGGCTCAGCAACACATTGAGCCCTCCAACCCAACAACAGCAAAGTGAGCCTTCACCTCCATTCATTTACTGACTTCACATTATTAAAGGGGCTCTCCTCTGTGACACAAAATCTTACTTTATTTTAGGTCCCTGGGAAATTGTGCACGAAAGTCACAAGTTGATGGACAAAATTTTCAATACATTTCTCAAAGGTGAACACTCACAAAGCTGTTTAAACCTACCAATCACCAACTTAAACTAGAGGTTGTGTTTTTTTACCGATAGAAAACGTGATTGTTGCTAATATAATTTCAGGTGTGGAAGCTGCTGGATGGGACGTAAAACGAACTCTGCTGGACTGGGATGAGTGGAGGGTTGAATGGAAAACAAAAACTAACTGAGCTGTGAAACGTTTGCAGCCATTCCACATTGTTTATATCACTTTTTTAAATGCTAATAAAACAGTGATACTTTTTCAGTATCCTCATTTGATTCTCTTTTTTTTCAAATCTCAATATGTATGGTACAAGGAAAGAAAAAAATCTATATTTGTATGGGAATACTTTGATTTTTACAGGCATAATAAAATTAAATGCTGAATGAAGTGACTTGCTCCACGTTTTTGTTTTTCTTTCTTTCTTTCTTTCTTTCTTTCTTTCTTAAACTGTACACGACATTGCATTTACCTGTCTACAAATGTGTCATACAAAAAAACAACCTGACTGACAGCCCTTCTATCTGTTATCCACGAGGGGGCGTTGCAGAGCATAAATGCGAAATTAACTCGCCACGAAGAAGAAGAAACGACATCCGTTGGTGAAGTTGTTTCTATGATTTTATCAAGTTAGCAGGATTTTCCCGCTTTCTCAATTTACAAATGCCGTTGAATTTTTTCTTTAACAGGGTTTGATACAAGTAACGCAATACTATATTTTGATATACTGCCGAATACTATATAATTGTTAAGAATTATTTCACGGCTTGTTGTTACTCTTTTTTTCAAACACGTCCTGAGGCTATTTCGAAAATTCTGGCCGGATGTTGCGTTGTATTGACGCTAACTTGACTGGACCCTTCAACAACTTAAAAAGAACTAGCTTGTGTGTTTGCAAACTGAACGAAATTGTGAACTAAATGGGAAGGTATACATGTGCCTACAACTGTGAAAGCTCCAGCGAGTCAGATGTGAAGTATTTTAAGTGAGTATTAACATTTATTACCTCAAAATAGGGAATAGCGGGCAGTTTTGTTAATAACGTTAGTCAAGCTAGCTAACGTAAACATCACAAAAGCAACTTCTTGGTTTTCGCTGGCTGCGTTTTCAAGCTCAGTTTAGAGTTTTAACTACACTTTTTATTTAAAAAAGTATCGGAGATGATTCAGACAACTGTTTTGATAGTGATTAATCTAAAGTTAAAATACCAACCATTGCTTGGTTTGAGCTTCTCGTTTTGCTACTTCTCTTTGTTTTATTTCATTGCAAGAGTTCAAACTGGAGGCAGTCATGCAGCTAGTATTAAATAGTGGAAATGCACTTCAGCTCACTGTGAAAGTGCATTTTTTTTCTCGCTGAAATAAAGTACAAAAGAATTATCAAGAAACAGGAAATTGTAATACTCCAGTAAAGCAAAGGTATATTTAAATCGTTTGAAGTACAATATGTATAAATACTAAGTAAAGTTAAGGAAATATAGTAACTTTTTACCACTGGTTTCCATAAGACTTGAGACTTTCAGGAAACAAAATGGGCATTTTAGGAGGGAGGAAAGAATTTTGAAATGAATGGCCAATGCAGTGAAATATAGCCTAAAAGAGAAGAGAAACAAAATGGACTTTAATCCAGACAGACCTTTTAAAGTATGTTTATTAGTTTTTGGATGTATTTGGCTTATGTCCTTCCCACAAGTAATAAAGTTTGTAAGACAATTTAAAAGCTAAAACTTTATAGAAGAGCAATACTTACTTCCTTGTGCATGTGATTTTTTCCATATAACATTAGGATTTTAGAAAAAGCCTAAAGTAATCTTTAACTATGAATAAATGTCATCAAGAACTAATAGGCAAATAGTACTGGCTTTTAAATGGAGTTCAGTGTTGTAGTTCCCTCACAAATCACCATATTAATAAGGTTTATGCTACTACAGGTTTCCCCTTTACAATCCCCGAAAACTCAAGAAATGGCTCATCAACATGAAGTGGAAGGACTGGACCCCATCTCGCTTCTCTGTGCTGTGCAGCAATCACTTTGAGGACCAGTACATTGACAGAACAGGCAAATGTGTCAAACTCAAAGAAGATGCAGTTCCCACCATATTTTCATCCCCTGGTGACGCACAGAAAAGAAAGGTTTGTAGTTAATGTAGTTATTCAGTATCAGTGGATCATGCTGCCTCATTGAATTGAAAAAGTAGTTTATGAAGAAGACAGTAAAACCCCTTAAAATAATCTTCATCTGTTTGTGATATTCTTTAAAATAAAGATTGCATATGCAATTACTGTCACTGTTTCCCCAATGTAGGCTTCCATCAACCCAAGAAGTAAAAGAAACAAGGTGAGAGCATATTGTATTGATATTTAACTTAGGCTATAGTTACATGATTCACTTGTCATTTTCGCAAGCTAGTTTGATCATATTCTGTACTTATAAAACATTGTTTGCTCAGGGAGATATTAACAAAGGCACTTTATTGTCAACCCAGCCACCTGCTTCCTCACAGACAAGTCCAGCTCAGTCTCAGATGACCACTCCTGCCACAGCAAAGAGAAAAGTCCAGAACAAAGAGCCCAGCCAGACAGAAGAAGAGCCTGCAGGGTATGTGACTACAGACAGGGAAGTTTCTTGACCTTCCACTGTCACTGCTATCAGCCCTCAGTGTTTTTTCCCTTACTGTGTTGACATAAAGTTTCTCTGTAATATCGTACAGACCTGGCCTCTCTTGGACCATGCTGATCAATTATGGGCGTGTCATTTTTTTGTTTTGCTCATCCTACTGTCATTATCTCACTGATTCCCTAAGTTGATCAGCCAATCAGAAAACTCTAAACAACCATGCTGACAAGTGACATGGATGTAAATACGTAAATCTGTCAACTCAGTTTCGGTGTACATTTCTACTGTCACACTGCAAGTGATTATATAAAGTCTGTATGGTATAGGTTTGTGCGTGTAATCATAACGTTTCAAAGACTAAACATGAACACGTGGACTTCTGCCTCTAAACTTTGTTATACAAGTTTATGTAAATGTAAGTTTCATGGCTGCAAGCCTAATGTTTCGGGAAGGTTTTGTACACAGATCTATGTAAGGTAAACAGGATTAGCAAGAGAGATGTTGTTTATCCTCTGACTAACCAGTTTTTTTAGAGTTCTGCACAGTGAGACAATTATCAGTTGATCTGTCAATTATTCTTCTGATTGGCTTTGTCTATCAAAGGCCAGAAAGTAGTTTTAAAATGCCCCTTTTCAATTTCCCAAAGCTCAAGACAGTGTCTTTAGATTTCCATATATGAAGTTTAATGTCACATAAAACAAAGAAGAGCAGCAAATCCTTGTATTTCAAATGCTGTAACTCCAGAATATTGACTAATTGATTAATATATTAATTGTGACTTGTCTAGAATTTATTGCACACCTAACCTGAACCCAGGTGATTAGTTTTATCTTCACACGTTGTGATGCTCTATTACAAGTATATAAGTTCTATAGGTATTGGATAAATTCTTGCATTATTTTGATTGTCTGCATCAAAGGAAGTAACAAGCAGTTTCTGTCTGAACCAGATTTCAGTATAACATTTTGCATTCGGTTTGTACCGTTTTGGATTGTTGCCTCTTTAACGTGTTGACCTTTTCTGATTTTATGTTTAGAGACAAAGACCCAAAAAAGTCAAATGACAAATGGAGGATTATAGTGGATGAAGGGTTGATGAAGATAGAGTCATTTCCACATTTCTTCCATGGAGATTATTGTGCACCTCGGGTAAGCGGTACTATTTTGTGATATCATTATTTTTGTTCATCTTAAGCATAAATTATGGCAATTATGATATGACATTGGGCTAATCAAAAGTCTTTTGTTGTATGATGTTTATTTTTATTATTGCACATTTTTATCAAATACTGTTATGTTACCCAAGTTGTAATTTTTGAAACTCGCCAACAGGATATTCAGTGGGCTCCAGATGATAATTTTAATGTAAGTTGTTCTCATGATTGTAATCTACAATATTTGTCTTTTGTACTTTGACTTCTGCGATTATGAGGTATTTTAATCAAGTGCTCTTCTGTAACGTTCACAGACAGAGTGTGAAGATCCTGAAAAGGTCATAGAGGTAAGTTACAACAGGATTATCTGAGTGCACTGCAACATTAAATACAAGCTAAACCTTGTGGGATTCTTACTGTATTCACATTGTATTTCTGATGGCAGGTGAAAGAGCCGTGGCAGTGGCTTGGTCTGGATGTCAGAGGACCGCTGCCCCAAACTCTCAACGGACACAAATACATTTTGACTGTGACAGACTACTACTCCAAGTGGGTGGAAGCTGTGCCAATGCAGTCGTGCCTCCCTTCAGATGTGGCACAGCACATCACCAACATCATTGCCCATTTTGGATACCCGCTCAGAATCCTCTCCAGACTGCCTCATGACATAGTCCACAAAGTGAGTGCTTTGCTGATTGAACTGCTCAGGTTTCAGACCGTTCTGAATATTCTGTTACCAACGTTTTTTTTTCTTCTTTCGTGACAAGCTGCTGTCAACTCATGACAGATTAAATGGTCATCTGCTTCAGTCATGCTACTGCAAGTGTTTACATTACATAGCCTACCCTGCTACATGTAGCTACATGCTACCATCAGATAATCATGTAATCTTGGTTGCTGATGTTGTTAATTTCTCCCCGATTTTGGATAACATTCCTCCTAGAACATGCCTGATTATAAAGATTTTGGTTTTAGAAGCTTTTATTGGTGACTTTTCACCATAAAAAGTGCCGCTATACTCTGTTACACTTATTCCCCAACTGCAATTATGGTGCAGAGATGCTGAGATACATAAGACTCAGAATCACTGACCAATTAGAGCAGACTGGGCTTTATTGGGAGGGGGCTTAGAGAGACAGGGGCTAACATGGAGTGTTTCAGACAGTATGAGGAAAATAAAGTGTTTTTTGAACATTAAAGCATGTAAACATGTTCCAGTAGAAACCGAATATGTCCCCTTTATGACTAGTAAATAGCCTTCAAATCAAAATACAATACAAGACAATCTGAATTTCAGTCTGAAATCCTGGAAAACCAACCAAAGATGCTTTTTATAAGCCAGAGACTGTCATTGAACATTCAATTAAAAATTGAATGGATATAGTGGTATACTGTACATGCACAGTATTTATAACCCCCAAAAGACTACAACTATGCTCGCAGGTTGTAAACATGACAGGGTTTTTCCATCTATCTTATATAATGTAAAAGCAGCTTA